GGAATCTGTTTTGATTATTTCAGTGGACATAGTCTCTCCATGCCATGCCATGTTAACATTCTTCAGTTGATAGCTGAGTTTTCCTATTATTATGGCAGGACTTGCTGTGAAACCTGGGGTGTTGAATCAAATTCAATCTTGCCTTGTAGTATGTGAAACTTCTCTCATTTGAAATGTGTTGTCTTTTAAAATCTTCATTTATATTCCTTTTATGTACCACGTCTTTAAATGTTTGAATACTTTAATGTTCTAGGTAACAATGACAAAGATGATGATGAAGTTTGGGCTTACTCCCAGTTTCCCATTTAGTCCGGGTGCATTTCCCTCATCCTTACAAAGTGCCACAAGCGCAGTCAGTCCAGGAAGCATGATGCCGTTAGTAACTAAATCGACTGATCAATTATCTCAAGGTCTAGCGGGATCTCAACCAATGAACATCGGTCTGGCTTTTGAGAAAACTGCAATAAAAGACACTGCAGTTGACACTACATATGGCAGCCGAACTGAGAAGGTTCTTAACAACTTTTTGCAAAATCCACTGTTGAAGGTAGAAGGAGGAGCTTCCAGTGAAGCAGTATGCTCTCATTTACTCATTTTCCTTCTAATCATTAAGCATGGGGAGTTTATTTTTACATGTAGAATTGAAAATGCTTTCTAACTTTAGAACTTTCGCATACACTTTATGCTTCACATAAATGGATGATAAAAAATTTTGCATTAGGTATTGAGTAAGAGCATTTTCCACTTGGAATGAGATTTTTTTAGGGTTACCATCGAGGTTTAGGGCTAGTGTGGAGATGGGCGGGTAAGCTAAAATTGAGGTAAAATAGCCTCAATGGAGTCAAGCAGTCTCAAAGGTTACTTCCTACCACTTGACTCGTATTTCGGCTCCTAGCAGTATGTGATTCTTGGATATGTTGCTAAAAGCGTTTGGCTTGCCAAAGTATTATTGGCTTGCAAAGTATTCTTGGGTATAATGTGAAATTTCCGAAAACACTCAAGAATTATATGGCGAGGTTTTGGCGACAGTGCAAATTAGTAACAGCAATTGCAGAGGCCTCAATGCCGCTATTATGGTGGTGCTTTCAGTTTGATGGGTATTGGCTAGAAATGATGGATGAGTTAGTGATGGGGGTTGGGTAATGATGTTTTCTTAAAATGTTATTCATAGCTATAAAAGAAAATATCATCTCTCCCTGTGAGCTTGGTTTTTGGCCTAAATGTGGGGCATGTTACATCATTACTCTGCAATCCTAAAAAACAAAAATGTGAACACTTTATATTGATAATGCATCTCTCTGTTTCTTTAAATTCGTGTTGTAAATATCACATTTTTTAGGCATTTGTTTTTACGCCCCTCACTCTCAGAAAAACTAAAGTACATGCCTACATGGTTAGATTTGAGTAACTGAACCTGTTTAAATTGTTGAGACTTGAAAGATATGGTTATCAGTTGAGAGGAAAAAGTATTGAAGTCTTTCGATTCTTTTGTCCATGTTCTCATCCTGTATGCATTGTCTGTTGTTTAAACACTTTCTTATTTTTGAACTATAAACAAGGACTAAATACTTTTTGTTTCTTTATATACTTTTGGGTGATTTACTGAGGTATTTGAATACATCACTTTTGGGCAAAATTATTTATTAATTATAAAATGATTTTAACTACTATAAAGTGTTTGGCATGACGAAACTATCACCATTGAAATTATTCATTCCTTTCCACTTTTGTGAGTTGTATCATATTAGTGATTAAAATGTTATAATGAAATTCTGATTCTAATATCTAAGATTCATTTGTAGGCTGGACGCTTGATCACAGAGAACAAAATACTTCAGATGGTAATTTTCTTCTTCTAATAAGTATTGATTCTATGACTGAGATATTTAATCACCTTTTATAATATTCTAAATAATTAAATACTAATAAACTCTGAATCTTATAACCAGAGTACAGGCTTCTTGTTGAGTTTTTCAATGTTTCTGTTGTTTCTCTTGTTGTAGGTTTTGAAACACCAGCAAATGATTGAAGAACTTGTGGAGGAAAATGAGAAGCTTAGGCAGATACTGGTAGAAGAGCTGAAAGTACCATCGAGCAAACTTGAATCGGGTTCTACAGGTAGAATTAGAACTAAGTTGCCATGTACTGATTGTTTTGAGTGCCGTAGAAAGCAAAGAAGAAAGTAGGTTCGAAATGATAATTACTAATATACTCATTGAAGTCTTTGCACGTTGACCCTTAAAGGGGCACCCCTAAACATTGATACCCTTTAGATTTTGGGTTTTTCTTACTTACAAATTACTGGAGTGGACATAGTAAAAGCAAATGTTCATTGGCCAAGAAAAATTAAGAAAATAGTACAGCAAAAGACTGGAGTAGAGTAAGGTTCTGTTTGGCGGGAGGGCGAATGGAGAGGAGAAGAGAGGAATTACTTCAAATCTTAGTTGTTTGGTTCAATGTTTTGGAGGGAAGAGATGGAAACAAAATATGGATTCATAGGAGAGAATATTTATTTAAAGTTCGGACTTAAACTCTCATTAAAATCTCTTTGTTTATAGAACCAAACACACATTGCTCCCCTTCCCTTATATTAAAATCCATTATCTTCTCTGGTGAGTCCAAGCATATCTTCTCTCTGGTGAACCAAGCAGGGTTTAAGGGCCCTTTTTTTATTAAAAAAAAAAAAGAAGTGTTATAAACTTTTGTTGAAAAAAATTTACTAAGAATTTAAAAAAAAAGAAAAGTTAGTTTAAATAGTTATTATTAAAATGTTATAACTTTTGTTAAATGTTATAATTTTAAATAAATCACATGAATTTATAACTTTCAAATAGTTATCATAAAAATCATTTTTGAGATATATGTTTTTAAGAAAATATGATTTTGATTATGTTTTATTCTTCAATGACGTATAGTAGGATGTTAAAATTAGTCTTTTAATTTATAGAATAAAATATATATCTTTTTAATATTAAAAAAATTATTTTTTTAAAGTTAAAATAAAGGGAATTTTTATTTTATCCCATGCTTTTCTAACATACCACGAGAAATTCATTTGTTTTTGAGATTTGTCTCATTTTACAACTAATTTTATTTGGAAATGCACTTTCGGAATAAATACACTTTCTTTTTTTTAGATATGTACGCTATGCGAATTCTAAAATCTTATGAACCATTTTTTCTTCTATCACTCTTAATGTCTACTTTTCTGAATCCACAGGCTCATGGTAATTGACGCGTATGCACTTTATGGTTTTTTTATGCTTGACTCAGTATTTCCTTTGTAATCTTTCAATTTGTTTTTATATAATAATTTGGTTTATATGAATAGATATAACATCAATATAATGAGACACATCAATTATTTTAACAATAATCGGAAGTTTTTGGTTTTTAGTACCGAAAATATATTTCTAATTTGTGAGAGGATGTTTTAGGAATTAGATAAGGTCTTTCTTTTGAAGTATGGGGTGGAATAAGAAATTTCCTAAAACAAATAGATCCTACACTCGAGGCCCAAGTGATTTAATTTGGTGGGTCTACCAACCTAAATTTTGTGGAGAATACTACTATTTACACCTCCATTCGTCTCTTTTTTGGACAAAAATACTTCTACAATGTTAGAAGGACATCAACTGTTTTGGAATTATAATTCTGGAATACAAAGAAAAAATTAACACGACTGGAATCTCTTTTTTTTCAATACCATAAAATATTTAATAAAATATCACATTCTAGAAAATGGAAATTGGAAATATAAATATAGAATACCGTTATATTAAGAATCTGAACCATGTCAATGTTTTCAGAATTTAAATTCTGGTACATAACAGATTGAAAAAAAAAATTTAATTCAAATTTTGTTTCCTGATATTGTATTTTAGAAGGAAAACAAATTTTAATCTTTTCGTCTCATGTCATGGTATCATTTTAACCAATGAGTGAAAGAATTAGCAGTGGGATTTAGTTTGAACTTTTATTGGGACTACTATGTAAGGTCAGCATAAAGTGTTCTGAATTTGGAATATGGTGTGTGTTTTCAGATCGTTATACCCGGCGTCTGAAAGGAGAGAGATAAAACTTTCAATATGATGTAGAATTTCTATAAACTTGACAAGTACATTTTCTTAATGTGTGACTATAGCGAACATTCCATCAATAATTCCAATTAAATTGATTTGATTAGTGTTGAACATGATCCTTATGTAAAGAGCAACAAATATAAAATAGATAGGGAAATAAATATTCACTCACATGGAAAATTATAATAATTTTAAGTCACTGTCATAGAATCAAATGCTCTATTTCTTATTTGATGTGTGGTACTACATTACATTCTGACCGTATAAATTCTTTTCTTTTTAACTTTTGGCATACATGAATGCTGTTGTTATACTTATTGTATGTAAGTTGTACATAAGGATTCTTTTGTGTCAAAAGTGAACAATTAGGCCAAGGATGTGTCCACCTCTTCTATTCTCCACTATCAGAATTGTTTTTCTCTAGAAAATTTTAATCAAATAAAATACTGGCCACAAATTGAAAGTCAGAACAAAATTCTGTATAAACTAATCCAACACACGAATAGTTAGTATCTACTAGGATTTAAATTTGAAACTTTGAGAGAAACACATTTTCAAAACTCAATCTTTCACCACCATATCAATACTTAACCCTATAAGTGAATTTCATTTTGTAAGAAACTTAAATGGACACGTTAGAATAGAAGATGAAGATGTAACATCAATTCTGTGAATTAGTCACTCAAATTAAATTTCATTACAAGTCACCAAGTCTCTTTTTATTTAGTAAGCTACAAAATATGACACCAACAAATGCATACATCTGCAATGTTTGGTCACCACTGTTCTTAACAAATCAATAAAAAAAAAACATAGCTACTAAAATAATAGAAAATCAACATAACAAAAGAAGAGAAAATTAACAACATAGAAGCTGCATGAATGCATATCTCAATGACTTGGTAATCATGTCTCGGTTTATGAAATAAGCATGGCAGCAGCAGCAAAGAGTGGTAGCATGAAAAAGCTGTTTCTGTGAATAAATGCCTTACTTGGTAAGGCTACTGGATTATCAGAAAACGATTCTCCCGTAGACGGTGACGGAGTAGGTGATGGTGATGGTGTATCAGGTGTAAGGGAAGGAGGAAAAGCTATTGCAGGGCTTGGAGCTGGGCTCATGCTCGGGCCCTGACTTGAGCTTGGGCTTCCTGGTGGGAGTGATACAGAGGAAGGAGTGTGGGCTGTGATGGGTGCAGGGGAGGGGGCTTGGGCTATGGACAATGTCAGGAGAGTAAGGGACATGGCTAACACAAGTGTGGCACGTGTTAGTGCCATTGATGCACTAGGGAGAGGAACAGAACAGAGCAATGGAGGTCTTGTTCTGTGATGGATATATAGATATATAGGTGTAAAGATAAAAAAAATAAAAATAAAAAGAGTTATTACTCACTTTTGTTTTTTAGCGCAATCTAAAAGTGGAATTTACACGTATGTATGACGAAGATAAAGTTTAAGGTTCACAGGCATATATCTTGTGAGGTCCAACAGGACCAATGGCATTAGAATAAGTCATTTTAGATTATCCAAGGCATCTTGTAAGTTCTATTGTATTGTCAAAGTTGTTACATGTTTTTTTTGGACAAAATATAAGCTAATTTGTCATGGCCATTACTTTTCTAGCTCTTATTGCCGGAGAACCAATAGTATGAAAACTTTAAAATGATCTTTATAATTTTGAAAATATATCTTTGAACGCACTTATTTCATATACTAAAACACATTTTAACTTAGATCACTCACATTTTTCGAAAATCTAGTCTTGAAGTTGAAGTTTCATATCTCTAAAAAGAGATTGTT